TGTTTACCTCAAATAGTGCTCCATTTTCGTGAGGTTGTCATAAATTGCCGCACAAAATTAACCACTCCACTGATCACTTTGGTGAAGTATCCCCGTTTGTTTATGTAGATTGAAGTGATAACAGGAGATGAATACAAACAAAAACAAAGGCACTTTAACCAAGATGGAGGCTGATGCAAATAGTCAGTAATTTGTAGTTGACACTTTCACTTAGAGGCTTGAGGATCTAATGCAAATAATTCATGGGATAATTCAGCAGCTGACACTTTCACCAAAAGGAAAAAAGTAGCACTCAGAACAAGCATGCAAAGTGATGTAATGAATATGCATACACCTGGTTCCCCCTCACAGTAATATGATTGGCTGGTGTCAGTTATAAATACAGACTGATGTGGAGATACAGAACGATGCCTATTGTCTTCGCCTATTGCTTACCACTACGACGAGGACCAGTCCATTACGGTTACCTGCTAGATTGTCCTACTCGGTTACAGTAGTCCAAAACCACTTTGCTACTTCGAACAAATATATCCCTTTCTGGTACATATCACAAAGGTAACGTAGGTGACATGGAAACTGATGCCGATTCTTTTCCCCATCTGCCTGACTGAGCATGTTTTTATTGATGACACAGGGCAAAAGCTTAGATGGAAACACAGCCAACAGAAATCTGGCAGTAACAAGTTGACGTGGAAAAATTTTCAATAAACTTTTGAATTTGGTTTTCATTAGAGAAAGCTTTCTGCATAAAGCATTTTGCAGTGGTTAGAAAGGTAATAGTTTGTGCAAAGTCAGATGAATATGGCAGTTAAGAGTCAAATAGACCAACTGAGTTTCAAAATTTTTTTCTCTGTCATTTTTGCTGTATACAGCCTTGCATTATTATAGAGAACAACATTTTCCCCATTAACAATCACAGAGCATTTTTTGAACAAAGCTTTATTGACACATTGCAGATGCTGAGCATATAACTGTGCACTTAACATTTAATTGTATTTGAAGAACTCTAAATGAATAATACCCCAGTGATTCAACCACATGCACAACCTTCTCTTTCTTCCATTGAGGTAGACTTTTGGGGTTGGTTGTGGAGATTTATTCTTGTTAATCCACTGATTTTTGCATTGAACATTGTTGTATACAACCCACTTTTCATCACCTTAATATATAATTAAGAAACAATTAATTAGGATGATACATTCATCATTACAATTGGTTCCCAAAAAAGGAAAATAACTATGACTTGATCTAATATTTATATAACTAAAGCTTTCAAGAAAAGAATTTTTTAACTGCTATAAAATCTCCACATTTAACTGAGAAAAAGCTGAAATTATAAGTTTGTTTGTTGACAGTGCAAAATTAGTCCTGATGAGTGTAAAACATTCAGGCCAGTCTTGGTCAAGCTCTAAACTATAACAGAATAGACAAGTATATTTGGTTCAATTTAAGATCAAATGTTATTTCATAAACAAATTAATTTGTGATGTTCTGAAAAGAATAAAACATAGAAAAATACTCCTCCCCACTTCAGATATTCCATTAAGAAGCTAATTGAAGCATTGTAATATAACCAACAAGGATGTGACTATTATTTGTTATAGACAAGCGTATGGTTGCAAGAAGGAAATACGACAACAGCAGAAATAGATTTACATGATTTATTTCAATAGGAACATGTGGTTTTGGGACAGCTACCTTGTGATATAGTTCATAAGCCGGCTTCCAGTCTGGGTTGATCTCTCATAGTAGTTCTCACTGGTTGGCGTGGCGCTCCTCCTGCTGACTGCTGCTGACTGACCGTGACAGGTTTCTTCCCTGGCCTCCTGTTGTCTGCTGTTATAATTCTCCGTGTGACCCCTTTTATTGCATTTTTTATGGCTTAACAGGCTCGAAAAACGATGCGAGTATAATTAGGAGGAAAGCATTTTTATTGGTCAAAAAATAGAAACACTTTAAAATATTATTTTATTTTTCGACCGGAACTCGTGCGTCAGGCCTATGCATAAACAACAATAATGGTCATTTTGTGACGGGGCCTTGTCCTGTTCACATCCAGCTCTCACTCTTGAGTATGTTAGTTTATTTGCCTGCAAATCAGCCGAGATATGTCTTATTTTATTTTATAACATATTCTGAACATATTTTTATGTATTACTGAAAACCTTCTGAAGAGTGGATGGAACAATTACAAAAAGGTTAATCTCCAAAACTTTAGAGTCAAGATGCTGAATATAAAAACAATCAGGTGAGTGAAAAATTTTATTTGTATTAATCCTATATATATTTACACTATTTACAATGTTTGGACGGTTGTCCTCATTTTTGTTGTTATATTCATGATGTTTTGGCTGTTGTATGCTCTGGCATTTTTCAGGTGATTGGAATTTTGAACCAAACCCTTTATTTTTTCCCCCAGGTTAGACTGTTCTAGTTAATGTGCCATGCCTCTTCCAGATAGCTCAGTTTCAGTTATCTCCCTTTAGTAACTCAACTCTTCAAGTTTTTTTGGCCACCTCTGCTGTGGCCAGGTATTGAACTAGAGGCTCTTTGTGTTGAGTCATTGGATTTTTCAACCCACACTTTCATTAAGATATCTTTAATAATTTCTAAGCTACAACAGTTGAAAGCTTAATCTAACAATTGGACAATTTTGCTTTTACATCCGGTATATAGACACTAACATCCAGCCAATACAAGGCTCGAGAGCCGCTCAAAGTAGAGGGCTACAATTGAAATGGTAATGCTGTGTGATATGAATGTAGAAGTAGGAAGTGAAGGTTATGAGGGTAGAAAGAATAAATAATGATTGACCCAACCCTTGAAGAGGTTAAGATATAGTGTTGTTTGAAATATTTATATTTGTGATTGTTTTTTTGTTTCTTTTTTATGCAAGGTAATTTTAATTAATTCATTTTTTAAAAAATTTAATTTGATTTTGTTTCATTTTGAGTAAGCTAAATTACTAGCAAGCCTTTTATTAAGGAAAAGCATTAATATATCAAAAATTTTTCTCTGTACTTTATTTTGCAAGCATTTTCTCTATTTTCCTAAACAGCTTACATTGGTACTGACAGTGGTGGAACATTATATCATATCTCAGGATACATCACTGGAATATTAGCTTTTAATATCGTAATATTTAATATATTATTCAGATTGTTTCCTCTGTTTATTTGTTTAGCATAATGTGTTATGCGAAAGCTTTTTTTTTTTTTTTTTTTTTTTTGAAATCTAGGCATCACTTACTTTAAGTTGTTTTAATATCACCTTTTTTCTTTCCTTCACTTATCCTCACTGATTTCTATTGAAAAAGACATTTTTATACATATTTTTTGTGGCTCCTCTGTGCCAATAATGCTATGAATTACTGGAAGCAGAATTTTATGCAATCCTCAACACAGAATCAATGATGATACCAGAAAAAGAACAGAACAGAGAGAAATAGAATAATAATAAAGAAATACATATACTTAACATATATATATATATATATATAATTAATACAAGTATAAAGTTTGTCACTTAGCTGATTGGTGTTAGTTTCAGGATCACAACACCAGAGTTTCATAGACAGACCCTCCAGCAATCTCTTCATCCACTCATCAGGGGATATAAAATGTGCGTGTGTGTATAAAAGAGGGCATTGAATCAATACTGAGTGGCAATAGTTTGTTTCATGCTTGAACTCAATTTTCAGGCCACTTGTTTTTAAACATTATATATATATATGTGTGTGTGTGTGTCTATATACGTCTGTGTATTTGAATATATATCTGTACATATATATGTATGTGTATGTATGTCATATATATATATTAAAAAGAAGAGATAAACCGCAAATGTTTTTGTTTGTAATGTGGATTTTTTAAAAGAATATTATGCTTTATTTTCCATAATTTTGCTACACGCGTTTCCAGTCTCATGACCGTCATCAGGCAAAGGGTGGAGATTTCCACATATTATTAAAAGTAATTAATTTTTTCATTTATGTTTTTTGATGTTAAATATTCTCGATATGAGAAAATTCACCCTTTGCCTGATGACGGTCATGAGACTGGAAACATATATAGCAAAATTATGGAAAATAAAGCATAATAGCATAATATTTAAAACAAAAATCAACATTACAACCAAAAACATTTGTGGTTTCTCTCTTCTTTTTAATATATACACTTTTCTCTTGTTGGAACTACTATAGCCTCTTCCTTGTATATATATATATATATATATATATATATATTGTGTATTTAGGCAGTAATCCCTCTTTTATACATGTTTTGTTAAAGATGACTGACAAGCTGAAGCTTTTAAATAAAAAAAAGCTTAATTGCAGTACCTTGTCAGTCATCTTTAATAAAAAATATATATATATATATATATATATATATATATATATATATATATATATATATATATATATATATGTGAGTGTACACACACACACACACACACACACACACACACACACATATATATATATAGAGAGAGAGAGGCACATCATTAAGTTTGTAGGCTTATGATGGTAAAAGTATTTATTTTGTACAATTATTTTATATTTCAATATTACTCCCATCCTTGTCAATGCACTTAATTTTATAGTGAATGTTATCATATATAGTGACATTATATAATAAGAATATTTTATCAAAATTCATCTAAGTATTATGTATCAGGTTATGGACTTAATGCTACATTATTTTATCTCTCTCTTGATTTTATATATATATATATATATATATATATATATATATATGTGTGTGTGTGTGTGTTTGTGAGAGAGGGAACAAATTTTCATTTCATTTCACAAGTTGTCTTTTTCACAATATTTCCACACACCCCCATCTGCCCCCTTTTCTTGTCCAATTTGTGTTGTGTTATTGCAACCCTTTCATCTCTTAAACAACCCCCATTGCGCCAAAACGATGTTAATCATGGCTTCACTTTCTAGTGACTTTCTTCTTCAGAAAACCAGAATTTGAAAAGCACTTACGATTCTTATGTTCCCGATTTTAGCACTTTCTCTCTCTCCTTTGCTCTGCAGTCTTCTCTAATGAATATATTCATTGGGTATTTTTGTTTCCAAAGAAGCTATCTTATACGTCTCCCTATATTATGCATGGCATAACGGAATTGCAGCTGACATCATTATTTGATCACTCACTAAATGTCATTGCTTTATGACAACCAATGTGTTTCTGCTACTGCTTCTGAATGGTTATTAACTCGGTAGGTTTTGTGTGTGTTTTTCTTTTGTATTTTTTTAAATACAGGTTTTGTTTCTAGGGGCTTTTTAGTGGTCTCTCTGTTCCACTTTATATTTGCTATTGGCTCTTTTTTTTTATAGTGGGGTGTTTAAGTGGTTGTCAGAAGTTTTTTTTTTTTCTTTTTTTTTTTCTGAGGCATGGAACTAGATTTTTTTATGATTTTGATAGGGATTTTTTTCTTGTCTTTTTTCTCTTTTTTTTAAAAATCTTTTTTTTTATGTTGACTTTTTTAAACTTTTTTTTGCTTTATATAAGGATGCTATATTTTAGAACCAAATTATATATTTACAAAATTTTGGTTGGAATCAAGGATAGATTTTGGTTTATTGGAAAGTGTGATATTTTAGGGAGTGAATTTCATTGTGTTTTGTAGAAGATTACAAGAGACTGTCATTCTCATAATTTAGGGGTAGATTTATTCACTATTCTCTTGTTCTTGATTTTCAAATGAAGCAAGTTTGTAATTGATCTTATAGTATTTGATTGATTTCTTTTGTGTGTGTGTGTGTTTTCCTTAAGAAACTTTTTTCTTTTTTTCTTTTTCTTTTTTTAACTGTCTAATTTTTTAAAATTCTATCTATAATTAGCATATTCTAAAAAGAGTATCTTTATTGGAATATTTTCTTACATTTCATTTTCAATTGTTCCTTCCCTTTTCTGATAAACCCTGGTACTTTCAGCGAAGAATGTGGTATTATTGTATATCTCCTTAACTATTTAAAAAATGTAGAAACGAGAGATCTAAAATAAAGCATGGAAAGATTTTATTTTGTATTGGGTTTATATAATATATTGCATTATGTTTAATGTTATCTATGTATCTATCTATTTTCATCTTTATTTTTCATCTCTATCTCTGGTTTTTCATATGTATCTGTCTATTTATCTGTCTAAAGCTTTTCATATCTATCTATTTATCTCAGGATTTTCATGCATATCTATCTATCTATCTATCTATCTATCTCAGGCTTTACATATCTATCTGTCTATCTATCTCAGACTTTTTCATATCTATCTATCTATCTATCTATCTATCTATCTATCTATCTATCTATCTATCTATCCATCCTTGTATTCCTATCCATATCTATCTATCTATCCTTGTATTCTTGTTCATATCTCTCTCTCTCTCTCTCTCTATATATATATATATATATATATATATATATATATATATATATATGTAATTTAAAGAAACTTGCACGGTGGTTTACCAGCTAATTGGTTTTCACCATATGAATCTTCAGGCTGCATGTCGCGCTGTTATATTCCTCATGGAAAAAGATGGAAAAATAAATGAATGTTCTCCCATTCCAAAACATATATCCTTGGTTGTTAAAATGCCCAACTCTTCAATATTGCTATATCTCTATTGCCTCTTGGAGATAAAAAAAAAAATAGATAGAATAATGAAATGATGTTCATTTATACTAAGAGTTAAGCGAACTATGCAAGGTAGCCATGTTTAGCTTGACAAGGTACTAGTATAACCAACTGTACAGCCAGCTTGTTTGCTCTATACCATTATTTTTCAATTAGTTTCACCCCATGTAAGCCAGAACCTGTTGATGTTTGTGTTAGCATGAAGTCACAAGTCATCGTGACTGAGGTTTTTTCAGCATAATGGTCTTGATGAAGCTGCTGATCACAAAAATTTATTTGCTTTCACCCAAAAACTGAAATTGAGGTCTGCTTATCATAGTTGCCATATAAATCACAGCTGTTGAACAAGACAAAAGTGTCTGAGCCAGCATCTGTAACTGGGATTAGAAAGCCAGCCTTGCAGAGGGACAATTGCAGGAACAATCAGCCAGCCATATGTGTACACACATTTGGTTTGTTTTATTATATACTTATGAATATTTTTTAATTATTGATCAGTAAATTTTGTTGAGATTAAAATTTAAGTTTACATTATTAATAACTAATACAAGTCTTTATTTATTTTTTTGTATTCTATCATTCCTTATTTCCTATTGTATATTGTTTTCTTTTTATGATGTCATAATGCAGATGGGTTCTTTGCAGCATAAATTAGATCAGTTCTTTTCCCTCACTTCATTTTATGTATTTCTTGCATTTTTATATATGAAATGATTTTCACTCTATCAATTTTTACTCCATTTTTTTTTCTTGTTGGAAAATCCTATGCAGCCATGACCAAAGAGGATTTTGATTGAATAATGTTTTTCCCTAGTAATAGAGCAGTGCAATTGTTATTGCCATGTCTTTTATGTAGAACATAGCTGCCATTTTCTTTCCAGACCCCAAAATAAGCTTTCAGTAAGGACAGCATGGGTATTGTTACCAGCAACAAAGCAGATCACAAGGCTGAACATCACCTGGATAATTAATTGATGGGTACAGGCATAGCCCAGTTGATAAATACATAAATAAGCAATAGACTGCCAACTTTTGAACCCTTCATTTTTGTTTTCATTTGGTGGGAAAAGTCAGTTTGAAAGGTTTCATCTATTTGGTGAGTGCATTTTGTAGAGTCTAGTAATAATGCATTTCTCAATCAGTCTTCAATTGGAGTCACAAAATTCAACTGCTGACCAAAATGCAACAAAGACAGACTCACTCAATTCTATTTCCATTTTCCTCTCACTTATTACCTTTTACATTTTTACACTTATATTTTTTATGTGTGCATATCTTAATATAGGTACGTAATTGTACATACTTTGAGGAATCGGAGAGCCGAGTTCGAATTCCGGTTGAATCCATTACATTCACTTACATGCTAATACCCTTGGGAAAGCTATGAATCCTCTTCTTCTCCCTCCAGCTATTGGTAAATAGCAGGACAGACTGGGTTCTCTAGCCTTGGATGGCAACTGGTCTAGGAGAAGGACAACTCTGAATTCAAAACCTGTGGAAGGACATTTGGGGACTTTCTGGCATGTAGTGCACCAGGTCTCTGTATTTGGCCCTTCAAAAAGTGTGGATGGTTCTGCACAAACCTTCACCACTATAATCAAATCATACATGCTAGTGTCTGGGCTGTCAGTTCCTAATAACTGAGCTGGTTGACTCTCATATGTTGAATACAATGGGAGAGTCCACTATATGCTATATGTAAGTACACATATGTGTGGGTGTGTTTCTTTTATATATACAGTCACTTTCTCACAGATGTGATGTGGCTTCCCTCTGTCTTTTCTACAAATATTTTCATGGCAACTGCTCTGATGAGCTACTTTCACGAGTACCCCAACTGCATGAATGTAAGCATGCTACTAGTCTGGCATCTCGGTCCCACCCTTTCATTGTCGAAACAGTTAAATGTAACCGCCTCTTCTACTCCAACAGCTTCTTCTTTCACACTTCCTGACAATGGAACTCCCTTCCTCTTATTTGTTTCCCTGATAGCTATAATCTTCAAATTTTCAAATGTAATCAACATCTTCTGATTCCTTGATCCTGATCTTCATTCTTCTCTATATCCATTCCTCAAACACTCCTGTTAATTCTTGCTCTCACTCTCTGTAACCCCTTGTGTACTAGTGGCTTGGGATGAAATGCTTAAATATATATATATATATATATATATATATATATATATATATATATGCACACTACAGGCTAAAAGTTTGGGGTTATCCTGCATTTCTATAAAAAACACCTTAAACGAGATATTTTTATATTCTTTTAAAGTATGAGATACCGTGTATTTGTTTTTAATTTAACAAAAAAAGCACTTAACAATATAAAATTATCATAAAACAGCAACATATATTGTTTTCATCAATAAAACCACCATGAAGAGGGGTGAATCCAGATTTCAGATTTGAAGAGCCAAGGTAAAGACTAAAAAATAAAACAAAATACACTGTAGGTACTGAAATTTTATCTTTTTCTTTAAAGACACAAAAATATCTCATTTGAAGGTGTTTTTTTTTAAAAAATAAATGCAGAGTGGCCCCAAACTTTTGGCCTATAATATATATATATATCTCGATGAAGAATAAAAAATAAAACATGAGAAAACTCAAATTCATGGTCAAAATTGAAGAATTGTCAGGCCTGGTTCAATTTTTATCATGAATAGCTTATTGTTTACACCTTAAATATTAAAAACTTGTAGTTTGTTTCATTTTTATTCTTCATTTATCTTATTTTTATGGGCTCTACTTTATATTGAGTACTGTTAACTTCCAGCTTTAGTACAGTTGAAATTCACCAACCTCAATTATGTTTTGTCATATGTATATTTTAATATATATATATATATATATATATATATATATATATAGAGAGAGAGATTTATCAATATAGACATTATATTTAATGGCTGCATATGTTTGAGTATAGATCCTGGTGTTAACAGACTATATATATATATATATATATATATATATATATATATATATATATATATATATATATACACACACACTAACAAGATAATCAGCACTCAAGGACGAGAATCCAAATTGTAACTCTGATCTTGTCATCTGATGATTGCTTACGGTGAAACTACAACTATTGATTTGGACTTGAATCCTTGAGGTCTCTTTGGTTTGTTAATGTTACTGTGTTAATTTTTTTTTTTTTAGAGGGGCATTGAGAACTAGAAGTTTTGCCTAAGTAAGTGTCTCTTGTTTTTATATATGTTTTCATTTCTTGATTTTTTTCTTTTTATTTTCCTTTTTTTTTTTCATAATTTACCTTTGACAGATTTAATGTTGGTAGAGTTGGTCAGAAAGGTGTAGAGTAAATCTTCGTGTCAAACATATTGTAGTATGGCCTATATAAATATTTACGGATTTTGATTGATCAGAAATACAATTCCTTAATGGACATTTACATTCATTATATATATTATATATACTATTTATATTCACTATATATATATATATATATATATATATACACTGCATGCCAAATTATTATCGAGATAACTTTTTTCTAATATTTCAAAAACCGTATAATCAATTCACACAAAATTTTCACACAATGTTGGCAACACTGACCTGCGCAATCACTGAATTTTTTGTACTGATCTGCGCAATGTAAACAAACTGGTGCCATATTTGTTATCAGCACTGTGATTTGCTTGCCTTTATCTGCCCTTTTGCGTACTTGTGTAGGGTCAGCGGTGAACTTTTTCACTGTTTGATGACACCTCCCTATCATTTTAAAAATTTCTAGGGTAGATTTACCTTTTGAGAGTTCTGAGGTAATAGTTTTCTTTTCAGCATCACTTAAACTGCTTTTATGGCCCATCTTTTCACTAAATTATTACACTTTTCTAATAATTTGGCACGTACAAATCACAGTGCTGATGACAGATATGGCATCAGTTTGTTTACACTGCGCCGATCAGTGATTGTGCAGGTCACTGTTGCTTTTACTTCAACTCTGGTGATACAAGGAGTTTTGTTGATTTCTTGCTCATCTTCACCTCACACATAATAACCAAGAGGGTTGCAATCTGGAGAGTTAGGTGGCCAGATGTAAGGGGTGAAGTGGTCACAGAAATTGTCTGACACCATGACTGGGTTCTCCTGCTTGTATGGCATGGTGCAGAGTCCTGTTTCTAGTCATAGGATCATCCAGCAGCCACCCTCTTGACCTAGGGTAGCACAACCTCCTTAAGGCACTTGATGTAGGCCTCCATGTTGAGTGAGAGGCCCTGTGGGAAGATGAATAGAGGCATATTGTTGTCATCACTAGTGATCACTCCAAACACCTTTGTAATCACCATGAGACTTGTCCAACTGTTTCCAAATCCTCTGCACTGTCCTCAGATTGACATCCAAACATTCTGAAATGTTTATATTGGAGCTTCCGTCACAAATACCAAGCAGTACAGCATACCATTTCCAAATTTATATAATATTATAACAGCAATGTTTTAAAATACTTAAATTGTAATTCTTTAAAAAATTTACAAAGATAAATTAAATTACCTCCCTTGATAATGTTAACTTTTGAATCAACAGAGCGTGTTTCATGCACATTTACAAAAGTAATCACAACTATTAGATGAGTTTTTGTCCAAGAAATTCACCCCTGAAGATAATCTTCAATGAGATTGAAAGTACTTGAGAAAGTAGAAGAAATAACTAAAACTATGGTGACTTCCTTAATGTGT